TATCCTGCGCTTGCTTTATCTGCTCCGTGGGTTCTTTGGGTTCATTACATCCTTGTGATCCTGTCCTGTCATACTTGATCTTCTCCAGCTTGCGTCGCTCATTGATAATGTCGTGACGTCTTCTGTCCAGATATTCCCTCTCTTGATAAATTTCGGTCTGCATTTTTAGTAGTTGTGCTTTTTCTTGAGAGGCAGCGTTTTTGTTTTTCTGGAGTGTCTCGATAACATTTTCTGTCTGTAATTTCAGTCTTTCAATTAGTAAGTGCTGCTCATGTTTTTCAGACGTCAGTCTCTCAATGTGCTCCTGTTGCTGTCCTGTCTGTGTCTTCAGGGAGTCCAGCTCATTTCTCTCTGTTTGTGTCTTTTCCAAAAGTTGTTCAATCTCCTCAATTATTTGACGCATTAGTTGCCTGTGTTTTTTTATAGTTTCTTTGTTTGTTTGTTTGTCTGATTGCGCTGTGTTTTCCACCGTCCAGTTCTGTTCTGTTTGGGTCGTCCTACTGTTCTGTTGTCTTTGTTCTGTTGGTCACAAAATGAATAAAACAGCATTTGTTTAACAAATGAGACCACTGCTGAGGAGCCAGTCTACAACACATCCTACATTATGTGGAGGCCAGAAAAAAAAAAAGATAAACTGTTTTGACAGCAGAATGAGTAAAAGGCCAGATGAAAAGACAACAAATTGCATAATTGAGGTTTGAATTTCTGACATGTTCCTTTGACCTTATTAACACAACCAGCTGGACCTCTTTACGTGAAGCTGTTGACGACCTCACTGTTCTAATCATCACTCAACCTCCTTCTCTTCCATCAACCATGTCTCTCCAAAATGATGTTCCTACACAACTGAACTGAATTCTCAAATACGTTTTGAGAGAAACATATTTTCTCCTTGTAGGTTAAAAGAATGCCATAGTAGGGAATATTACCTCTGTCATAGAGCCACAACGTCCAGATTAGAGAATGAAAGGCTGGTGTCTGGGCCCCTGGTGAGTTACTTTTATTGTCAGTGGCCCTACAACAATTGGAAAACTCTTATTTTTAGCATGTTGCTGGTGAATGTGGCTAATGTTCTTTGGGAAACAGGGCCGCCATTAGCTTGGAGAGTATGTCAACAGGCCAAAACTTGAAGACATTGTAATGCTGACAGATAGTCAGAAATAATGGAAACTTTAATAGTGATCTGAAACCAATAAACCAGGGCTGGTTGGGTTGCCGTTTTCATGTAGTCTGCTTTAGTGCAACTCAGTCAGTGTCAACTGTTTACGTCTGTTTGCTTCTCTCCTGCTCCCTGTGCCCAATAAAGCTGTTGTCAGACAACTGAATGATGAGGAGTCAACAATACGCAGCCTATTAAGACTACATGTCAGCTGGCAGCCACTTCAGAGCCATTCCCATGCTGCTGTGCTGCATTACTAAAATACTCATTTGGTATCTAGTAAGCCGTCTGACAAGCTCACCGTACACAAAAAAGCAGCAGCTTTGGTGAATTACTTGAGTAATTATCAAGAGTACAGCTATGAGGTTACAAGAACAAGTGGCCGTGTTGTCTCATCGTAACCAAACTGCAGTCACCACTTACACTCAGTAAAGAGCTTTAGTGACCTAACCTCACACATTAATATCCCTGTAATGCTTTAGGCAGTCATCACTCATGTTCACAATTGTTCTAAATTAGTTGTAGCTTGTAGTTTGGCTGACAAATTTAATTTCCCAACAAGGTGCTGACATTTAAAACATAGTGCGCACACCCCGATCAGCCATAACATTAAAACCACAGACAGGTGAAATGGAAAACATCGATCCTCTCATTGCAATTTAATGTTGTTACGTTCATATCACAGCTACTTTGACATGTTCCACCCACTTAAGCATCGTTCAAGACCAAGAATGCTTGCTGAAGGTAAGCCGAGAGGGAATCTGCCACACACAATTTGCTTATGAATGGCTTAAGGAACACGACACAGTGCTCAACACATTGACCTGACCTCCAGATTCCCCAAATCCCAATCTGCTAAAGTATCTGTGAGATGGAACACGCAATAACCACATGGGCCTGCAAATGGCAATTCAAAGGACCTGAGGGATCCACTACCAACGTCCTGGTGCCAGACACACAGAACACCCCCAGAAGTCCTTTGTGGCAGTATGAGGGGGACCTAGACGATACTATTTAATGTTCTGGCTGATCGGCGCACATCATGGTACCATCTGAGCAGCTTTGTCTTACCTGATTTACGTGTAAGCTCAGGTTCCTGCTTTAGGGGGTCGAGGCTCTCTTTGGATTGTGATGTCGTTTCATCCACAGCATGAAATAACACCGTCAGTTGTTCCTGGGGTGTCAGTGAGGTCCAGGCCTCCATGACGGCTCCAGGGGATCTTTCCCCGGTGATGATCTGTGTTCTCCACTCCTCCAGGAAGCTTTCCACTGCACATGAATTTGATGGTTACCATCCTTGTAGAGATCTAATACTGCTTGCAGCCCATGACTGAGCAGAAATGTGTTCCTAGCAGCTCTTTGACATCGGCGACACTTAACTGTGCAGCCAAACGTGTAGTTAAATGTCTATCAGTCGTCATACAAAGTGGTTGAGTTTAATGTTTCTTAAACATTGCAGTAGGTTTTGCAACCCCACAGATAAAGTGACTTGTTTTTGAGGAACAAGGTATTCAGTATAACTATAAATACAGGCATATATATAAATCAGCTACACTTATATGTTTATGGTTTTAGAACCACACATTAGTTTGGAGGAATAAGCAAACTCACCGACGTCTCTTGATTCAGCCATGTTTGCATGTTACACATTCAGAACTGATGGTTCCAATGAGATCAGAGATCTGAGCAGGAATTATAGAAAATTAGAATCAAAAAACATCAACATGAAGCACTTATCACACACCAGAAATGCTGCAATTGGAACATGCCAACTGATTCAATACTACAGTATATGTATTTGTATGAATGAGTCAGTGTTTTTGAACAACAGCAAATGTGTGTCATTGATAAATATTGTTCTTACCTCTGATTTCTTTCGTCTTTAGTTGTGTAGAAAACACAAAGCAAACCCTGGAGCAGGCCATCTCAGAGCGTACTGTGTCGTCTGTGTTGTTTTCACAGTAACTCTGGGCAAATGAGGGGTGTCAGCACGACTATCTTCAGAACATTGTACACTCCTTCCCCATACATCTGTTGATCACCAGGTGTAGTTGACAGATAGATGTGGCACCCAATGAGTGTGCATCGATGGCAGCTGATGTTTTGGTAATCAAACATCGAGCACCCTGAGTCTGGTCTCAGCTGATAAGGGTGCCGTCCATGTTTGACTTCATGCCCAGAACCTCGTGCAGCTCTCCTGTACGTCAGCGCTGAATAATCACATCTGAACAGGCTATGGCGCTCACATTTATTAAATATATGTAGAGACACATAAACAAGGCGTGCTGGCATTCTCTAATGTTTATATACTTTCTCAGTGGCATACACTGGGAAAGTATTTAAATGGACTCTATCCCAGCGGACTCAGGGTGAAGGCAGGGGACACCTGGACAGGTCACCAGGTTACACTTACAGACAACCAAGCACACTTTCACACCTACGGACAATTTAGAATCACCAATTAACCTCAACATGTTTTTGGTCTGTGTGGGAGGAAGATGAAGAACCCAGAGAGAACCCACGCTGCACGGGGAGAACATGCAAACTCCACACAGAAAGATCCTGGGTGTCTTACTGGGACACGAACCGGCTGCGAGGTAACAATGCAAACCACCGTGTCACCTTTGAGCTTGAGACAAATAATCTTCTGAATAATTATTTACTGAAGATAATGTCAGTGGAACATGTTAGATGCTCCCCGTCTCTCTAAAGATGCTTTTTGTACGTGTATCAAAAATCTAAATGAGGACAATTCCATTTTGCCTTCATCTACTGCATTACCACTTCAATGTGGACTACACTGCCCTCTATTGGCCAGGCCTAACAAACTACATGTATTTGCTATGTCCCCTTATATCGTTTTCTTTACACTAAGGACATGTCATGGTCATTTACAGACACAAGTTTTAATGTTAAAATCCATTTGACATGTAAATTGACAGCCTGTATTGTCATATTGGGATATTTTCGTGTATTTTAATAATACAGAAGCGTTTGTTTTGTTTTGTTTTGTTTTTGCTGACTTTTTAATTTTTTTTTCTACAGTGTCTATTTTTCTGACTGTGTATTTAGTGGTTCCTTTACAGCAGACCAGGACTTAAAAATCTTTCTAATAATCTAGCACAATATGATGGATGCTGTATAATGCAATACCACATGCACTATACATTAAATTAAACCACCTGATAGTTTAGAAAATAAGCAAAAACAAACTAAACTAAATGTACAAGTGTCCTAATGCCAAAAAATGTGAAAAATAATGCCACAGTATTTCTATTCTTTTAAGCATCAAAACTAGATTGTCTGGCCTTAGTTTTGTAACCAACTATAAGAGGAAATAAAGAGGAAATAAAGAGGACCGGAGGCCTGAGCCCCTGTGGAGGCCGCAGACAGCCGCTGGTCCCGTGAGCTCGGTTCGGAGCTGCAGTTCTGTCCGAGCGTGTCAGACTTGACGCTGGTGACATCCTCACGCAGCACCTAGCGGCGTCTGGTCGCTTCTGTCATTGCGTTGGTCGTTTCCTGGAAAATATTACTTCATACTCCCACTGACCCTCCCAACGCGGCAACAGCTGCGTCAAGCGCGCACGCACACACGCGCACACGGGCCACAGCAATAACAGCACGCGTCGAATTAAAGGGAGGAACGATGATGGGGACATCAGATTAACTTATAACTCTAAAGTGACTGATACAGCTTCATAAAATCAGAGTATAGAGCCGCAGGTGCCATTTTAATGGAAATATTTTGCGCTTTGGTGGTGACTTTATTTTGAAAATAGTGAACCGGATGTAGCATTTCCTTGTGAACAACAGTTAGCTTTACACTGACATCGCTGTACAAAACACCGCGTACAGCCGCGTCCGTCCAACTCCTCCGACAGCAAGTGGGAGCAGCTTTCATCAGACTGTAAAACATGGACGGTTTCTATTTTCTGTTCAAGTAACGGGATTACACACCGTGGATACTTTTCGCGCCTCTTTCCTTTGGACACTTCTTGATTTTTTGTGCGCTGGATGTGGACCGAGTTGAGGAGGGATCCCCGCACACGTTCCTCGGTCGTTTGGTAAATTAGGACTTGTGTAGGACTCTTGTGTGTGTGTGTGTGTGTGTGTGTTGGTGTGTGTTGGTGTGTGTTTGGGGGGGTGGTGGGGGTTGAAGCGTGTGTGCGCGTGCGCCCCTCCCTCCCGCTGACCGTGGCCGAGGAGCAGCTCTGGGTCACACCGGGTCTGATCTGGGCTCAGTCCAGACCAGCAAACAGTGTAGGATGGTTCTGGGATACGTTCATAACAACACCAGTCCAAGTCACACGAGATCACCGCAGAGGCAGAAGCTAAGTACATCCGTAATCAAACCACAAAATTAAACAAAAAAAGAAGAGTTGAGCTGTGTTGTGGTTAAATCCTTCAATTAAGTCTTTAATTATACATATGTGAAAATGATCATATATGGAGATGGCAGTCATCAAGGAAGTCAGCAGCACTGTGCCTGGTCCTCAGCTCAACACAGTCAACATCTGAAATAAGTTGTGTTTTAAAGCACACATTTATTACTGCTGACTTTAGATGAAGGAGATCTGCTTCTGATGACAATCTGTAGCCCGGGGTCTCAAACTCAACTCACCTGGAGGCCGCTGAACATAGAGTCTGGGTGAGGCTGGGCCACCAAAAAGGGCTTCAAGTATTCTAAAAAAAGCACAACTAATCCAATCTTCTCAATCTTTATTAATAACAATTCAGAACATGAAAGGTTCTTCAGAACACAGGCTTCTCCTGCCTTCACTTCCTCTTACTCAGCTGAGCCACGTTTGGCTTGAGGGAGGAAACAATCGAGACCCTCAGTATGGCTTGAAGATGCTCATCAGGCAGTTTGGACCTGTGCTTTGACTGATTAAAGTTCATGGTGGAGAAGAGCTTTTCACACAGACAGACAAAAACAAAACAAAACAAAAACAAAACACATTTGCACTGGGTGCAGGACATATTTTCCCTCCACTCGGTGACACTCCCAAATCACGTTTCAAGTGACTAACTCTGCTAATCGCGTTGTTGTCACGAGCCTGAGTTATGGCACCTCACAACTGATAAAAGGTATAAAACACCCAGGGCTATGACTCGCGTAGGTGCCTGTGAGACAAACACGCGGGACGTACTAATGTTAAACTTTGATGTCTAGTAGGGGCCACAAAATATTGTTCCACGAGCCACAATTGGCCCCTGGGCCGCGAGTTTGAGACCCCTGCTTTAGCCCATTCTCTCATCACGTCACTTCTAGTAAATAAAGCAACACTGAACTATTCTGCCTTGAACACCTCCATAGCCTGTGACTGGTTGTTGAACCTCTTTCCCAAACAGGCCCCAGCAGCACATAAAGACGCCTCATATTTTATATGTTCAACAGTATTTATGGGAGAAGCAATAATAACAGCTGTGTTGCTGCCCAGCAGCTCCTCAGAGCCTGTTTTCTTTAACAAATCCATTTTTACTTTCATGTTAAAGATAAGGGCTGCAAGGTGGATCAGTGGTTAGCACCGTTGCCTCATAGCAAGGTCACCGGTTCACGTCCCGGTGAGGACACCCTGGATCTTCCTGCATGGAGTTTGCATGTTCTCCCCGTGCAGCGTGGGTTCTCTCCAGGCGTCCCCTGCCTTCACCCTGAGTCAGCTGGGACAGGCTCCAGCCCCTCTGTGATCCTAGTGAGGATTAAGCGGTGTATAGATGATGGATGGATGTTAAAGATGAAGTTTGCTTTGTGAAATGTGAAACATCTCAAGAGAACTGTGACCCAAAAAAGCCCAAAACTAACTTTGTATCAGTGCATAGGAACCAAACAATAGGGCCACTGTAAATGATTCATTACTAACTACAAATTACTGACTATGCAGCAGGACGTTGTCTTTCAGGAATGTGGTTTTTTCCTGATGATTTGATTTTCTATTAACAGTAGTAACTGTCTTTACTCTTTTTTCTGTCTTTTTTTGCCTCAGTGTATAGGAAATGGCAACTGCTCTCAGTGGCCGAAACCCTGGCGGACGTGGACCAAACAGAAGTAAGGGCCGGATTTTAGGCATCATTGACGCCATTCAGGATGCCGTGGGGCCACCGAAGCAAGCGGTTGCCGACCGGAGGACTGTGGAGAAAACCTGGAAGCTCATGGATAAAGTTGTAAGTCTGTAGTGCTCACCGTATCGGCCGGGTGCGAGGCTCAGTGTTTGTTGTAGATGCACTGGAGAGGTGGAGCTGATGCTAAGGCGGTGCACATGTTTTCCCAGCCCGGGGTTTCTGATGGTACTAAATTAATTCAAGGAGTTTAATTCTCTAATGATGGACACATCACAGGGGAAGCACCCTCCAAGACCAACAAAAGACTGATTTGTCTCGTTAAATTCCAGAAGATGCTTGTGACATTGGTAGTTATTTGGCTGACCAGAATAAGTACGCATGTGGAAATGTGTGTCTTTGTAAATAAAATATTCTAACAATATTCATGGTACTTTTAAATTTTCAAGCTCACTGATATTGTAGACTTTGAGCATCGTGATTCACATTGTATTACATTTACATCCGTTGTAACAAATATTGACTTACTTTTTGTCTCATGATAAAAAGGCCTGCACAGGAAGAGGCAATGCAGGAAAACACAGTGACTAAAAGCTAATACACGAATGTTTTCGTCATCCAGTTTTTGCCTTCTTGCTTTAGTGGGCACACTGCAAACATACACCTTAAACACTGAATTGCCTATTCCCACAAAATAAAGAAATGAAATTAATTATTTTTGCTAAATTATTTGAACAAATTGCACATGAATACCCAGTTAACAGAGTATGATTTCAATAAGACTGTATAAGGAGTTAAAGTTTCATTTCCCCTGCTGCTCCCTTTAATATATTTCCTCTAAACTAAAATAAAACATTTTATTTTTTTTCATTTCCCCCTCTCTCAGTCATTCTACTCCCTAACTGTCCTAATTTCTTTGCCACAGGTCCGGCTCTGCCAAAACCCCAGACTGCAGCTGAAGAACAGTCCACCATACATCCTGGATATCTTACCTGATGCCTACCAGCACCTGCGACTTGTTCTGGGAAAATATGAAGAGAACCAGAGACTCACGCAGCTCAGTGAGAATGAGTACTTTAAAATCTACATCGATAGCCTTATGAAGAAGTCCAAACGGGCCATCAGACTCTTCAAAGAGGGAAAAGAGAGGATGTATGAGGAGCAATCCCAGGACAGGTAAGTTTACTTTCCATTCGGTCACCTTGTTTCCTGCTCAGCCCACACCTTTGACTATGGACACTGACACCTGTGTTCCAGCAGCTTCTAGTTCATTGCAGATCTGATTTTTGGTGATTCTTGGTTGACTTTTGACCATCTTTTGACCCTCCTGATGGATTTTCTCTCAGCAGCAGGCGATAGTTTGCATTTTCTTCCTGATTGTGGCAGTAACACAACTGGACCACACTAACAGTTGTTTGCACAGCTGATTTTGGGATCTGTAGCATCTTTAAAATGGCTCGGAGGGACGTTCCTGACTTTCTCAATTCAATGATTTGCTTCTCTCTTGTAGCCATTGTAGCATTTGTGGCTAATGAGTGTATTAAATAGAATTTATTTAACTGGACTCAGAGAAGTCAGCTGCTGCACTCGTTCGTTATCGCTCACAAGAAGTTAAGAGGGCGTGATACTAAGAAAATTTAATTAACAACTTTCTACATCACCAAAGTTCATAATTAGGGTTTCTCCATGTATATTCTGGAGCCAGCGGATTTTGTCATATTTCCAGAAGACTCGACCTGCAGGGTTTGTGACAAAGACGCGTTTCAGTAATTCCGTCATCGCAAATCAAAAGTTGTAGGAGTCAGTGGAAAGTCAAGCCTGCCGTGATGTACGTGGTCTTTGCAAGCGTATGTAAACTTTTGTTCACAGCTGTATGACAGTTTTCTGTATGAGTTCATCGTTAAACATTTTTTAGTGGCAGCAGCTTTGGAATTAGACGCGTACAGCAGATATTGCAGGAGGCCCTCCATGCATTTGTCGCTGCCTTTTTAGAATAATATCAGAGACAGGATGTGAGTTGTGTCAGGCTTCTCTGTGCTCCTTTTCTCACTCGCTGACACCCACAGCCACAGAGGCATTATTGTCACTTAGTATTGACTGGAACAGTGTATGTAAGGAAAACGAGGCGGGATGAATGGAAACTTCTAAGTAGTAAAACTCTACTGGATGACTGTGAGCTGCCCTCCAAAATAGCAAAGAACTGAGCCAGTGTGTGCTGCGGATGCTGTAATACAACTTTTTTTGACACTGAAAGACGTTTTGTTTTCAGAGGTGTGAAAGGTTCCAGCGACTCTCGGGAGCGCTCTCTGTTCGCCAGGTGCAGAGCTGCAGAGGGAAACTCCCCCAAGCGTTCTACATCCTGTTAATATATTTCCTCTCTACTTTAGTTCTAAAAAAGTCATTCAGCAGAGTTTCTCATCTCCGTGTGTGAACCCTCTGTCTTTTTGTTTTATCCCAGTCTTGTTGCCTCCAGTCATTAATTAGCTCCTCCAACAGACTCTGATCAGTGTGGCTTCATCTGTCACAGTGACGACAGCATCATCGACAGCAGACACTGCGTGTGTCTTTGGCACTCACAGGGAAAGATAGAAACTAATTAGAATCTGTTTTTGTTTCTCAGAAGATTAGAGCTGAATCCCTTGATCAGTTAGTCGGTACATTTTGTAAAATTTGCTGTTTCGGAAGTTGGAAAATTCTTTCTGTTTAAATCAGTTCTAAACCCGCTGGAGGCCACATTTGTTAGTTCATTACTTACAACTTTATTAAATGCTGCATTTGATTTTGCTGATTTTATTTTGCTAAAAAGTTACCGTCT